CTAAAGTTAGCATTTTCCAAGATCTCCTACTGCACCTTTAACAACATCTATTATTCTTTGGAGCAGCTGCCTGATTGCCACCTCTGACACACACAACTGATGAGATGACAGAAGCAGCAGGCGGCTGTTGTTCAGGTTCATCTCTTTCAGGATGGTTTTGGAGGAGAGAACAGTAGCTAGAACTGAACAGCTTTTCTCTGTCAGCTCACAATTATTCAGCCTAAATGCAAAAAAAACAAAAAAAATTATTTAACACAAATTAGAACCATAGGTCTTTATACAGTGGGCCTCATTTATGAAAAAATGTACTCACTTGAGTATCTTCAGCTCACACACAGGATTCTTTAGTCCCTCACAGATCTCTTTGACACCTGAGTCCAGCAGACGGCTGTTGTTCAGGTTAATCTCTTTCAGGATGGTTTTGGAGGAGAGAACAGTAGCTAGAATTGAACTTTTCTCTGTCAGCTCACAATTATTCAGCCTGAACACAAAAAGCAGCATTATTTATCTGCTCCACATGTAACTGGAAGTCCTTTATAATGACTAAACACAGATGTTATAATATATAAATCATGTTCACTCACTTCATTTTCTCCAGTTTGCTATGAGAGTCCATCAAAAGAGCAGAGAGTTTCTCCCCATCCAGGTCTCCTAATTTATCTTCACTCAGATCCAGTTCTTTTAGTACTAATGGGTTTGTACCCAGTACTTTAGTGAGGTGCTCGCATGCTTCCTGTGCTAATGGATTTCCACCCAGAACTTCAGTGAGATACTCACACGCTTCCTGTGCAGCTGGACTTTTCAAAAACCTAAAGGAAGTAGAACTTAGATTAGATAGTCATGCTATAATTTGATGTCATCCTCTCATCCTCCTTATGGGTCCAGTGTAGTATTAATGTCATAGTTATGATAACTGCCTCCAGTTCAACTGAGAAAGTGTAAGAAACTTGAGTTCCAGACTCATAAAATTCAGTCGTTTACTGGTATTGAATTTAAGTTCTACTTCGTGTCATTTTAATTCATAATTTAATTATCCATTTGTCTCCTCTACATAGTTGCACAGCTGTGACTCAATGTCTGTGGCTTCTTTGAAATATTTGAAGTCAATTATCACCTGATGGTCTGTAATTTACAGCATCCACCCCACTGTAAATCAATGAGCACCTCCACTCCTGATTGTCCGGGATAATTTCCTCTAAGATCCAGCTCTGTCAGGTGTGAGTTTGACTTCAGAGATGAAGTCAACGTTTTATATCCTTCTTCAGTAATACTACAATCTGAAAGTCTGTATATAAAAAAAGATTGATTTAATGATATCACCTGCTTCATTTAAATTTCTAAATATTTCATATAAAATTTTGTTGTAAGCTGTCAAAAAAAAAAACTGGAATTAAAATTACATTTTAGTCTCCATAGTCATCTAGATTGTTTATCATTTGATATACCAAATATACATTTTGTAATGTATTCTGTATCTTTGTGATTTTGTGAACTTAGCTGGTAATTTTCCTCTGTCCCTGTTTTGTGTGTTCCCCCTCATTACTTCCTGATTGTTTGCACCTGTGTCTTGTTAGTCTAATGCTGTGTTCACGCCATATCGTAATTCTGAGATGAGAACACGTGCCAATCTACTCTGAATTATGTGTTTCTATGGCAAAACTATCAACGGCAAAGCCCTCACGTGCTCCTGAACTCGCAATTACAACTTGTAAACTCGGAATGTTCTGAGAGTTACGACTTGGATCAGTGACAGCTGTACCACGTGTCCGCCAGGTTAATTTTGGCGCTACTTAGGCACTACCTCTGAGTCCAAGAACATGGAAAGCTATGGGTAAAATGTCACGTGTAGTCATCTCGGAATTACGGTAATTACAACATGGCGTGAACGCAGCATAATTCCCCCTGTGTATTTAAGCCTTTATGTTTTCTGTGTTAATTTTCTGTTGTTGTCCATTGATGAAAGTACTGTTGGTGTTCTCAGTTCTGCTCAAGCTTCTCCCATGTCACCTTGTTTTTTTTTCTTCTTCTTTTTTTGTTAATATTACATTTTAGTGAATCAAACAAAAGCACAAAGATACAGAAAACATTACACATTAATAAATGTATATTCACACACAGACATGTACATAAATGAAAATACACACTTCAGTTTCTCTAATCTGCATTGTGCATTTTCCAACAGAGGACAGATTTTCTCAATTCCTGTGTTTCGTAGTTTATTTCCACTCAGATCCAGCTCTATCAGGTTTGAAGGATTTGAATTAAATGCTGAAGTCAGAGCAACACAACCTTCTGCAGTAATGCTGTTATTATTCAGCCTACAGAGAAAGAAAACAAAGACAGGAAACAGTATTCAGTTTATCTCAAAACCTTCTTTAATAAACAACAATGACAGTTTTAATACAAAACAAGTGAAAATATAACATCAAAATAATGATGTATTCAATACTCACATCAGTGTGTTGAGTTTACAGTGTTTATCCCGCAGTAGAGCAGCAATCTCATCCATTTGTTTGTCTCCTAGCTTCTGTTCACTCAGATTCAGTTCTCTCAGGAGTAACGGGTTTTTACCCACAATTCCAATCACAAAATGACAGGCTTCACCTGCAGCAGGACCCAAAAACCTGCAGAATGGAAGATGAAGCAGGATTAAATTCAGTTCTATACTAAACTTGGCATAACGGAAAAATCTAGAAATTACTGCTTAAAACCTATATTAAAACTTTTAATACAAATCACCATTAACAATAACAACAGATTACTGTATTAGTGAAATATGTTTTCTATTTCATCATCTCACCTCAGTGTCTTCAGTTGACAGTTTGGATCCTGTAGTAAATCATTGAGCTCCTTCACTCCTGATAGTCCAGGATCATTTCCTGTGAGATCCAGCTCTATCAGGTGTGAAGGGTTTGATCTCAGAGCTGAAGCTAGGGCTTTATAACCTTCTTCAGTGATACTGCAGTCTGAAAGACTAGAACAGGAATGTAAATGTAACATTCAGATTAATTGATTATTCTAGAATTGTTCTGAACAATCTAAATCCATTAAAGGAAACATTTTGTGAGATGGAAGCAAACCAAAAAAAAGGACCTTTAGTATGTCAGGCATCAAACTCACCTGAGTTTCTCTAGCTTACAGTTCTCTTTCAGTCCATCAGAGAGCAGCTTCACTCCTGAATCCTGCAGATTATTATTGCTCAGATCAAGATCCCGCAGACTGCTGAAGTCTGAACTGAGAACTGAAGTGAGAGCTGAACAGCTTTCCTCATTTAGATCACAGTTACTGAGCCTGAAAATAATAATAAAAAATCAATATTGTGGATATATAACTGTACCACTATTGTAGGAAGCAGAGGTGTTGAGAGTGAAGCAGCACCAGAGAAACCAGCAGATTACCAAAGAAATTTGATCATTAATGTATTTTTTCCCCAGCCTTTAACAAACATGTTGGATGGGTTGGTAGGGGCGGACTTACCAATTAGGCAAAGGTAGGCGACCGCCTTGGGCCCCCAAAAGCCAAGGGCCCCCTAAAATGCTTTTCATATAGGATATGCGCATTAAGCACTGACACGCGAACGGTTGCTGTTTACGGTGTTTGTTACCACGACAACCGTCCGAGTCTGTGGCGCCTGCAGGTGTACGGCTGTAAGCACTGTGCGTACCATGAGCGCTCAGACTGACCTGAGATTTGTTATATAGGCCTCTGTTATTATAGGCCTGTGTCTCCCGTATTACTGTCGACTGAACCAGCCATGCCATTAATTATGAATTTATTAGTCTTTTGCATGCCAAAGGCTATTTTACAAATGGGAATACAACGAATTCATGACAATGTTTACATTCAAGCTACCTGTAAAATTTATAGTGAAAAGTACTTTAAAAGCGTCTGAAATGCAATAAAGTAATTTTAAAGCTATTTTTAAAGCATTTGCTGCATGGATAAAAAATAGGCTTATAAATAATTCACATATCATACAAAATTGCATTGCAGCAAATCCTTTAAATTTTAAGGGATTCAGAACAGAGCAACATAAAATTGTACGGAATTTATATACAGAATTATAAAATAAAATGCAAATTATAATCAGGCCTGTTTTAGGCTTTTCCTTATTTTTATATTTTAGACATCCATCAATTATGGTGATGAAAACAATGACTTGCGATCTCCTCATTGGATGTGCCTTTAGAGAGAAATGCATGGATTATAATAATGAAAATGAAAATATCTCATAATGAAAGAGTTTCTATTTTCGATTTGAATTATTTCGTTTTAAAGTAATCATTTAAAGCTTTCTATATATTTTTTATCATGTCTGTGAGGCAATTCGCTGAGTTTAGGTTCATCATTGTGAAGCGTTCCTGTTCAAGCCCGAGACGGCAGAAAGCGTTTGTTTTCTTTATTTTATAAAAGCACAACGTTTTGTTGATATTGTGAGTGCACACAAATAAAACTACCGAAATTTGCCTGTCGAATATTATACATCGTATTTTTAAACAGATTGAATATTTAGGAAGTGAATTCTGGAAGGTGAATATGAATTATTTAATTTTTAATTATGAAAATATGTGTGAAATATTTTGAATTGAAATATTCACAGTTTAAATAGACAACTATGTTAAATTTCAGGACCTAAAAATGCAACCCCTGGAAATACAAGGAATTAAAATGCAAGCACTGTTAATGCAATACATTATTTTTTCAATTAGTGCTATTCAACGTGCTTTTTTTGTTTCAAAGACATATGGCATTATTTTTCTTCCATAGAAGCGCTTCCAATCATTGTGTTCTTGTTAGCAATGGTTACCGCCAAAGAAACACTTGTAGCCATCATCGCTTTGCATCAAAATGGCCTCACATGCAAGGAAATTGCTATAAAGAATATTGCACATGAAAGAACCATTTACCGGATCATCAAGGACTTCAAGGAGAGAGGTTCGACTGCAATGAAGAAGCCTTCAGGACGTCCCAGAGTGTCCAGCAAGTGCCAGGACCGTCTCCTCCTGAGGAGTCAGCTACGGAATCGTGTCACCA